CTGGCTAATTTTTTGATTTTATTGTAGAGATGAGGTCTCGCCAAGTTGCCCAGGCAGGTCTCGAACCCATGGGCTCAGGCAATCCACTCACCTCAGCCTCCCAAAGCACAGGATTACAGGCTGAGCCACCAAGCCCAGTTAAGAATTCACTATTATACATGAACTGGACCTCTCGGGGAAAACAGAATAACTGAAGACCTCCAAAAGCTTTTCATACTGTCTTAGTCTTTTCAGGCTGCTATAACAAAATACCATAAACTGGGTAACTTATAAACAACAAAAATTTATTTCTCACAGTTCTAGAAACTAGAAGCCCAAGATCAAGTTACCAGCAGATTCAGCGTCTGGTGAGGACTCACTTTCTGTTTCATAGATACATCTTCTTACTGTGTCTTTACACGGTGAGAAACTTCTCTTGGGGCTCTTTCATAAGGGCACCAATCCCATTTATGAGACCTCTGCCTTCATGACCTAATCACTTCCCAAAGGCCCTATCCTAATACCATCACCTTGAGGGGTAGGATTTTAGTATATGAACGTTGCAGGGGACAGAAACATTCAGACCATAGTACATACTAATTGCTGCTTGTGCTTCTGACTTACAGCCCAGGAAAGCTCCCCCTAAATGCATATTTCAGGCACTCACCTGTAATGGGACAGACTGTGAAATGCTTACAAATGGATTTATTTTGCAGCTAAATGTTAAATGCTGCAACAAACATCGAAGCGTTTTTTTTCCCCCAGGAAAACATCAAATAGCAGTCTTAGATGAGGTGATTCCCCTCCTCATCCAGCAGTGCTCTGGGCAGGCCGAGTCCATGCTTCCATTTCTAAAGGTGGATCACAGACATGAAGGGACACAGGGCTTTATAAAAAGAGCACTGGGCTGGAAGTCAAGAGAACTCAGTTCTAATTTTAACTCTGTCCCCAACCAGTCATTTTACCTTGGCAAAGTAACATAAAAAATTGACTCCCAATTTCTTCTATTGTAAAAGGAAAAAGGTAGTATTGTAGGAAGGAAACAAATACGTATTGAATGTCTACATGTATAAACAAACGCTTGATGAAGAACTATGAGCACTAACCCAGCAATGAGGGCTGCATTTGCTTGATGTTACAGATGAAGAAATGGAGGTTCTGAGGTAAAAATAACTCAACCAAAGTCACACATTCTAGAAGAGATAGAGGCAGAATTCCTAGTACAAGGGCTGTAACCAGAGGGTGTCTTTTTCCATTTTTACCACATTTCACCTGGAACTCCAGGGTGTCCAAAATTCTAAATTTAAAGTGAGGCTTCCAGGACATTGTGAAGGCATTTTTGTCAAGGTAAACAGGTAAAAAATATATGTATAATATATATACGAATTCGGGCCTTGAGTCCCTCAGATGTTAGACACATTTCTGAATGTTAAAATGCTTTTCTTTCTTTCTTTTTTTCTTTTTGTAAAATCAAATCTCACTCTGTCACCCAGGTTGGAGTGCAGTGGCACTATCACGGCTCACCACAGCCTCAACCTCCTGGTCTCAGGCGATCCTTCCACCTCAGGCTCCCGAATAACTGGAACTTCAGGTGGGTGTCACCATGCCCAGCTAATTTATTTATTTGTAGAGATGAGGTTTCACTATGCTTCCCAGGCTGGTCTTGAACTCCTGGGTTCCAGCAACCCCCACCACGGTTTCCCGAAGTGCTGGGATTACAGACATGAGTCACCACACCCAGGCTGAATGCTAAAATCCATTTTTGTTGAAAAGAAATCCTAATTATTAAATACAGGTACATAACACCCATATGTACCTTACATTTTTGTTGGTTTGTAATGTCTGCGAAGCTCTTTCTCACACAAAGCTCTTTCCTTTTCTCCTATTTTCAAGGATTTCACTTGATCCTCCTAACCACACACTAAAGGGCTGAAAGAAGTGACCGCCTACGTTTCGCAGATAAGGAGTTTATAGTCAATGCCTCTGGGGCCATGTCACCTCCCCTTGTCCCATGTCTGATTTCAGCAGCAGCTGTGGTGTGGACAGTTCCAGGAGGGCCGAGACTCACCTCCTGCAGCCAGCATCCAACCTCAAGCACACGCGGTGCTCCTGTCATTCCTTGCCTCTTAGGATTCCTGCTTTAATCACATGCTAGCACAGCCTAGAAGTGTGGGCAAGTTCTACCTTAGGGGTAGCTCTCAAATGACAGAGAAGGGTAGGAGCCAGTGGATAAATGTCTCGTCTTTTCAATAGGCAATTCTGTGGCCTTCAGAGAGTTTCATTGGAATCAAAGTCCCAGTGAAGATTCCCAATTTCTGTAGAAGTGACTTCAATAACACACACTCACACATCTTCCTTGCCTGCCTCACTCTCCCCATTCTCTCATGCCTGCTTCCAGATAAACTACTTCTACTCAAGTCTCTGTTTCAGGCTCTGCTTTGGGACATCCCATACGATGAGAGTCCATGAGGCTCAGGAGAGAAGTAACAATACAGCGCCACACACTGGCAGGTAGAAGAGGCAGTACTCTCTCCCAGTTGAGAATTCAACGACTCTTTTGTCTTCCACTTTCAGTTATGCAGACAAGGTTAAGAAAAAAACCACCATTTCTGCCTTTTGCCAACATACAGACATACAGCAAGTTTTAAAAAATACATACTTGGGCACAAAGTTAAGAATAAATGGTAACTCTCATCTTTGCTTGGGATTACATAGATGATCTGCTAGGTTACCATAAAAAACTTTGTATTTTTCAAAAAGTCTAATATTTTGCATTTTTAGTGTTGTCTGATTTTACTTGTGTAAGGAAATTATAAATGTTCAGTTTTTCCCCAAGTTTTACTGATGAGAAAACTCACATTTTAGGCTTTTCTGCACTTTTACCTAGTATTGAAACTAGGATTCGAATCTTTTCTATTCTAGGCATGTTCTAGGTTCTGTTTACCAAATCTGTTCAACAGCAAGTGTGCAGATTTTATACCATGAAGAGCACTGGTCAATCCTCTTGAATACTCAATTCATGGATTCCAGGTTTGAATGCACAACCAGTTGTTAGTTCCAGAGCTTGGAGTATATCAAGAGCCTGATCAGGCAATGACTCTCCCCACCCTGGTCACAGTGATTGGCTCAGAGAATGGAAAGGGTCCTAAGCTTGGCCAGTTAGAGTGAATATCGAGACTTTGCTGGATCCATGGAGAAATAGGCACTCTCTATTCTAGTAGGGAGCTAGGCCATAGCTCTTGGGTGCCTGGTGGCCATTTTACCATCATATTGGAAAGGTCCACCTGAAAATGAAACCACTAAAGCAGAGAGGTGGATGGAGACAGACTGGTGATGTGACATGGTTCTAGTCTCCCCCTGAATTTAGATTTGACGCAGGGCTCTACAGTCATGGGAGCTGATGCATTATTGCCTCACCTTCCCCTTTCATACTTCTGCCACTCACAATCCAGCGAGCCCTGTTTGAGACATTCTGCACCCAAGTATTAAAGAGATTCAATGCAGTACCTCCTCTCTGAAGAAACAAATATCTGCTTTCCACTATCAAGGAATAGGCTAGGAAATCAAGAAACAGAAGCACAGCTAATCAAATCTTGGCAGACCCTTTTGTCTCAGCTTCAGAAAGCCTTAGGAATGAGGTGCTGAACCAGTCTCTTTATGAATCCACAAAGCAGCAGGGCTCAGACAAGCCCCATCACCTTTAATATCGAGAATACCAACTCCACAAACATTGTTTTCAGACTTACTCATCAGCCACTGCTTCAATTCAAAATCGAACTGCAACTAGAATTCAGAAGAAAGATCCCAGACTGGGAATTTCTTTTGTTTATCTCTCTTTTCTTTTCTTTTCTTAAAATCACATAGCAGCATTGAATTAAGACTCAATGTCTCAATGTTTTTATACCTTAAGTTCTATGAGAACTCATTCTTTTACCCTCTGATAAGCTGAATAATAAGAATTGGAGAGGTAGACTAGAGAAAAAAGTTGAAACCAAACCAAGAAACTTGTCCCAAGGCAATACGGACATGAAGGAAACAATAGATGGTACTTGTTTTAAAAAAGCTTTCCCCCCTCCTCCTTAGAAAAGTCATCATCAAATATTTACTTTCATATATAATGTTTCAAAGCCAGAAGGGCAGGTTTCAAGCATGAAATGTCGACAGGCTTGAAGGTAATGATGCCTCAGGAGATTTCAGAGCCTAGAACACTTTCTGACCTTGGAAAGGAATTGGGGAAGAGGTATGTGAGTGTGAACAGGTTTACCAGATGACCCACCAGCAAAGAGGTGTAGGGATAGTTGTGGTCTGAGTATATACATGGGCCTTCAAGCCTTTGTTTGTTCTTAAGCACACATGTGGTAGAGACCCAGCAATGACTCTTTCGTCTTTGTTTTTCCTTTTTTTTTTTTT